TTCCTGCTGTTGTAGCAACTCTAATGAAGCAAGTTTGGCTCTGCTTTTAGTAAACAAAGAAACTAAAAAATGATCTTGTGCTTCCCTTGTCCCTGGGTTAAGGTGGAATTTTCTTTCTCCTTAACTGAGGTCAGCGGTTCCACTACTGATGGCTATAGACATTTTGCCCACAAATTGAGAAGGCTTAGTATAGAGAAGAGGACCACTGCCAGTCTTGGGCACGTCCAGCATGTATCATGTGTGTAAAGCCCAAAAGGTCAGGTGCCATCTATAATCGAGTGTAACCTCGAAAACTGTCAAACTTTTTTTTCAAACTTTGGTTAGGACATGCAAATGCTGTCATTTTTCATAGAGTTGCTGACTAAAGGAGAGGCTATAGATCACAAAAAACAGAGAGAGTAAAAGCCTTGCTGCCACCTGTTTGTTTTTTTACCTGAAATTTAAGAACCGGGAGTGGGAATGTTTCACCTAGATAATGGCAAACAGAAGGATCAAGAATTTGGAGGTGGCATAGAAATGGCCTTATTTTTGTACCAAAAAAATAGTGCAGGTAATCATACATTTTGAGGACTTTTTTCCCGCAACAGCAAGAAAGAAAAAAGGATTTGAGAAATCTCTGCAAGCTTTCCCTTCGCCTACAGGTGCTCATTGGTGTTAGCACAGAATTAATGTATTGCTGTCACAGGAAAAATATGCAAATTGTATGTAGTAGTCCAGAAGGATCATCATAAAAATGGGATGTGGCACTTCCTTTTGTGTGTGTTTAACTACATTGGTTGTTTCAATTGCACATGAATTAAAATGTTGAAAATACCATGTATTTTAAGACATTGCCAAGTTTGGTTTTTGATGTCTAACATTGTAGTACTACTTTTTACTTATAGTGGTTTTCTCAAAATGTTTTATGCACATGAGTATTCATAGACCATGTCTGAGATTGTATGCCCAGGTATGAAGTGAAGAACCTAAGTTGCACAAAAAGATGACTGACACTTGGCTGTTGCTTGCAAACTGCTGTTGATACCTGGTCTACAGCCCGTCAGGGTCTTCTTTTCTCCACTATGAGAAAGTTTGAGTGCTGACATTGATTCACTGGTTCAAAAAGTTTGGAAACCTCCTACTCTTACAGAATTGGTGTCAAAACTGTGATGTGGAAATTTTCATCTCTTGTCTTCTGTCTGTTTTATTAACACTGTATTTGCTTACATTTTTGAAGTAGTTAAATTTTGTGTCAAGTCTGGCCTTTGGATTTGGTGGATTAGTTTTTCTTTAATAATTGTGTGTGTGTCCTGATTTGGTTTTAGATGATGATGATGATGATGATGAGATAGACGAGGATCAAGAAATAAAGGATAAAACTCTCCCCAAGTGGCATATTTGGTTGGATATTGAATATTCTCGTGAAGCAAGGCATTGGTTACCTTGGAGGCCAGACAAAACCAAAAAGGAAGCTGAAGAAGACTGTGAAGATCCAGAAAGACAGGTCAGTGTGATATAATAAAACAAGAGGAGACAAATTATCCTTTCATTTGAATTCATTGCCAATAGATATTTTAGAGGAGTAATCCTTTTTTTTGTTTGGAAAAAATTCTTTTCTTTGTTTGTAATTCAAAATTTAGCTGAGGTTTTGTGCTGAGACTTCTGAAATCCATGGGAAGCTCATGGTAAACTTTGGAAAGGGCTGTAGGCAGATAGTCTGTCTTTGCTGTTCTGTGATTGCTCTCATCTGTATGTGGAAATGTCACAGAAATCTGTGTTTGAGAAGATACATGCATTAAATAAACAAGGGTTTTGTTGCCTTCAAGCCAGATAGTTGGATTTTTTTTCCTTACTGGGACATAGGTCAAGTCAGAAACTGATTTTCAAATAAAAACGTGTCTTAAATGGCCTATGGAATAATATGTTTCAGACCTTCATTTTATAATATTTCCGTGGAGGTCTTCGATACTCAAGGGCAAAGAAATCTCTTGATAGCAAATTTACAGTCTGACTGGAAGAACTGGTCTGGTTTTGATTTGAATGATATTCTGTTACCATTTAATAATACCTATAAATCTTTGTTGACTTGAAAAAGTTGTTTAATTACATAAACTACAGGTTTGCTAATTTTATTTGATTGCATAAATTAATGGAGTTTCTTTTAATTTGGGTTTTTGTAGGTGTTATTTGATGATCTTGGACCATCTTTAATCCAGCTTTCTAATCCAGATCTTCAACGTCAACTACTGTACTCATTTTTGCAATTCCTGGGAGTTCCATGTACAAGTAAACTCTTTCCTTGCAACCTCTATATTGCCATGGATGAAAATAACATCTTTGACAGTGTACTTTCTGATGAAAAGCCACTGACTTCTGTTGATTTTCCGCTTTCTGGCTTCAACAGTATTGGTCATATGGACACAATGCTACGAGGGAGACATCACATAGGCCACTATAAAGAAGGAGAGGAGTTTATACAGAATGTTTTTCACGTTCTATTCCTGCTATTTTCAGGAAAGGAAAAATCTAACCTGTCCATTTGTTGGTTACAGTATGAAATATCTAAGGTAATGAGGAATCTGCATATAATCACTTTTGTGATGTGTGGCTTTCTTCTGTATTAAATGTTTATGTTGAATTAAAATAAATATTGATGAAAATTAAGTCTTGTAGGACTAAGTATTCAGATCAGGAAATGCCAGCTAAGATTGCACTGGGGTAAAAAAAAACAAAACAAAACCCTTTTCTTCAGTTCATGTTACCTGTATGCCGCTGTGTAACAAAATATTTTTTGCAATTTTGGATAAATGTTACTATATGATATATTGTGTGCTAGACAGGAATGGATGCAAGTGATTTTTACAAGGCAAAGTGAGTCAGCCAAGTACTGCTACCAGACTAGGCTACTAAGTGCATAATCCCCAATACCATGGGAATTATCAAGAAACTTAATACTTCCTATACAAGTTACATTTGTAGTATTATTGAAGGAAATAACACCTTATCGCTTGAGTATGGATTTATTTAAGTAAAACTGCTCCAATAGGTGCCCCCAGAAGGATGAAAGTCTGCGTTGTCTTCCTAACACTTCAGAAAGTTTAGTATTGTGTTTCCTTATGGAGAAGTTCCCTGTCTCTTACCCAAACACTACCTGACCAGAAGATCTGTAATCTTCCCATCCAGTCTCCAGATTTGTCTGTCAGCGTATTCCCTGCTGTGAGGAGCTACTAGGAGGTTTAATTGTCCCAGTCATAAGCTGCATCTGGCCAGACAGGATGATTTATTTTCCTTTTCTCAACTGTTACAGGTTAGCAGCTTTTTAAAAGAGTGAAATTTGATACTACTTAATGGCAGTGGCAGGAGTAAGAATGATGAGCCTGTGTAATTCGGCTATATTGGAGGAAGCTGACAACAGGCGGTTGTGACAACTTACAGTACTGAGTAGCAACAGATCTGGCTGGTGGTGAAATATGAAAACAAACACAATAATGACATTAAAAAATGCTGTGAGGTTTTTTCCTTTCTTTTTCCACCCCTCTTAAAATTTGTTCTGTTTATTCTCCCCTGCAGGTAGTTCAGTGTCTCCAAGCGAAAAACAAGAAGAAGCTGAAAGCACAAGGGAGGAAGAGTAAAAAGTTGGCCAAGAATCTCCTTAAAGCACCTGACAACCGAAACCACCTTTCTCTCTGGAAACTATATGCCTACCTGGAATGGCTGCTTGGTAACATTGATGATGCCAGGAAGGTATTTGACACAGCTCTTTGCACAGCAGGAGCAGGAGGATTGAAGAGTCTCCAGCTCTGCAGCCTCAGTCTGCTTTATGCTCAGCTGGAAGTGGAATTACTAGAAAGTATAGAAGGAGCTGTTAGATCACGTGCTGTTCATATATTGACCAAATTGGCTGAAAGTGGACCTTATGTGCCCTATAGTGGACAAGTGTTATCTGTGAATGTCTTGAAAGCTCGTAAAACATACGAGCATGCACTGCAAGATTATTTAAGTAAAATACCAGTTTCTGATCAGGATCAGGTCAGTGATGCTAATCATCTGGTTAACTTGGTTGGTTGCTATGCCCTGTTCCAGTATGCGACTGTTGGGATTGATGCTGCAGTATTAATATATGCACAGACTTTGGAAAAACTTGAAGCTCCTGGTCCACAGAAATGTGAAAATACTGGAGAGAATTTTGGCATGCAAAATTTGCCCACTGCTCTTGAAGCTGTCACACTGCTGCATACAAATTTACTCAGATTCCACTTGAAAATTAGCGTTTATCCTTTGAATCCTCTGCGAGAGGCACTAACGGAGGCTCTGAAACGGTATCCTAGCAACCTGTCTCTTTGGAGGTCATATATCCACATCCAAAGGAAGTCTCACAGTGCTAGCAAAGCACGAAGGTTTTTTGATGGTGTCACAAGGTCTACTAACTCTTTAGAGCCATGGCTGTTTGCAATCCAAGCAGAGCAGATGAGAAAAAAACTCACTGAGAATGTCCAGAGGTAATATCTTGCAGCCTCTTATGATTATGCTTTTTTTGATCTATCTAATCACTTAACAGAGAAGATGCTATCGTAGTTCTCATTTTGCAGATGAAGAAGCTGTAGCTGGGGGAGGTTATTCATTCAAGACTGAGCGATGAGTCAGTGGCAGGATCCTGAATAGAATTAAAGACCTAGGTGATAGTCTCATGTCCTTTCTACTGGATCAGATTGTGTGTTGCTTTGTGTTTCATTACTTGCTACTGACATCAAGATTTATGTGTTTCTTTAAGTAATTTTTAAATAATTAGAAGCTTGCTTAGATGGCCAGGGTAGACACTGTGAGCTTAGAAAGTGCTGCATTTTAATACTACAGCAGTAAGGAGTGTAATACAGAGCTACACTGCAGTTTCTGACTGAGCTCGCTGCCCTACTTTACTCCTGGATCACAGAATACAGTTGTGGCAGATCTGTTTCCATAGTGAGTACTTGAGTTTCATTTTCATATGGAGCTGTTGCTAGGTAGAAGAGGCTGGAAATTTCCTGAATTCGCAGTGTGGCCTGAGCTTAGATTTTTTGCTCCTGGGAAAGGAGGAAAGGGTAGGAGATGTGGGGAGCAGAGGTATGTGTTCACTCTTAAAACTTAAGTCTCTTTGTTGTCTACCCATTGCTTGGAGCTACCTATCCATTGCTACCTACATATCTCTAATAACATTGGCAGCTTGGTTCTTTGTGTCTGCACATGGCAACAGAGATTTCCAGGAAAATGCTATCTGGAAGCTTTACATAGCTGTAAGCTTACAATATTCACACTTGATGGATTACAGAATTATCAGTATACTTTAAAATGATGGTGCGCCCACTGCTTTGATTGCCACTGTCTGGCAACAGGCATGCATACATGATAGTGATATTCCTGAGCTGTTGGTGTATGTCATCCTAAATTGTAGTAAGAATTCTACAGCCACCAAATGTAAAGGAGGATTGTAATTTGATTTACTGTTAATTACAGACTGACACTATGATAGGTTTTCATTGTTGCTACCAGAAACTGATGTTAAAACTCCAGAGTGATGATTTTTTTCTGTGACATTTAGTTCCCTTCCAGATTGTTCTCTGCTAGCATAGACTTTCCTATAGGTTGTATAGGGACAAGTTGGATGCTGCAAGAGCAGAGCTGAACTACTGCAACAGAGAGATAAATGGCCTGTCAGTCATGCATAAAACTAATGTTTTATGATGTTGTGACAAACTAAGAAAATGTCTGTACTATGTGTGACTATTTCCTATTCTGTTTTATATTTCTGCTTGTTTAAGTGCATGGAATTCATTTAAAGAAACAAACGTGAAGGGTAAAACAGTAGCATATATAAATCAGTATAAGGTACAATGCATCAAATGGCTGACTCCATGCAGAATAGATTATATCATTTTCCTTCATGGCAAAGGTTAAGATGAGAGGAAACATGACCTGAAAGACCTTTGAAAAAAAGAGGCCAGTTAAGAGCAAGTGCTAAGGGTAAGTGGAACAAACTGGCAGGCTAACAGAGTGCACACAGACAGAAGTGATGTTGCTGTGAGTGCTCCAGGCTGTTTCTTCAAGCTTAAGCATCAAAAATAAGGCAGTCTGTATCCGCCGCAGATAGAAATCAGTGCTTTAGTGAAAAATGCATACCTGCTTTTGTGTTATACCTGGAACTTAGGGGATTTGAATTTCTGGGTGAAAAAGAAAATTATTATTGTAATCATGGTTGAGATCTAGAGCTGTAATCTAGGCCTTGATCCAAGATCAATGTACAGTCTTACAAAGGTGATGGGTAGATTTGAACAGGCTTGCCTGGGCACCAGAAGAAAGCTTGCTGACCTAGACTTGAATTTGGTTTGAGCTGCTATGCCAAGCTTGGAATGATAAATGATCTCGAATGAACACCAAGAGGAGTGTTCTAAGATCATATGATGGTGGGTTATTGTATTCAAAGAGAAATTATCTCCTCCAGTTGGACAGGATTAATTTTTAAAGATGATAAAAGAATTTTCACAAAAATACCTCATTTATCTTTTCTTAACTGGTTTTCCTATTTAGAAATGTATTGATTAGATTAGCAAGTACTAAAAATCTGGTTTATGACATTCAGAGTTTGTAGCATGAAATGCAAAACCCTGGCTATATACAGTGCTATGTGAACAGAGTACATTGATATTTACCCTCTCTTACCTGGATGTAGTCCTTTAGCTTGGATTTAAGGGATTGTGGTTTCTTTTTTCTTCTCTGTTTCAGGGCAGATGTTGGTGAAATACATTCTACTATTCCTGAAACTGGGTTAACAAATCGGATTGTAGCTCTATTTGAACACGCAGTTCAGAGTGAAAATGGTACCCATTGTCCACTGCTGTGGAGAATGTATTTGAACTTTCTGGTAAGAAGAGTATCAGTTTTGTTTCGTTTTGGTTTTTTACCATATTTGGAATTTCTCATGAAACAGCTACAATACTGTATAAAAAAAGGAATACTAAATGCTGCTATACCTATATGATTTGCAAGGTGATATATTTGAATTGTAATGCTCCTTATTGCTGGGAATATTAAGGACAATGTAGTTCACATGGATTAGGAGGAGTAATAGCTTCTGACAGTGTAGCTTTAATGCTGGCAAGTTATTGTGGCTGCCAGCTTACGTAGATAAAAATATGCCATAAGATGTCAATAGATGGATTCCACCCATAAAGGTAAGTGGGCAGGGGAGCAAAATTTAAGAGAGGAGGAAGCAAATTGTAGGGACTTAAGATTTTATTATTTTTATGTAAGTAACATCAGCAAATATGACTTGTATTTATGTTTTAGACCTACTTTAGGATTCTGTAAGGAAATGATAAAGACTTTGATATTTCAGACAAATCTGGGTCCTGATTTTGTATAACTTCACAGAATCACAGAATGGTTGAGGTCGGAAGGGACCTCTGGAGATCATGTTGTGCAACTCCACTGTTCAAGCAGAGCCTCCTAGAGCCAGTTATCCATGATAATGTCTAGATAGCTTTTGAGTATCTTCAAAGATGGAGACTCCATAACTTTCCAGGCAACCCATGCTAGTGCTTAGTAATCCTCACAGGAAAAAAATGTTTCCTGATGTTCAGACAGAGCCTCCTGTGTTTCAGTCTGTGTCCATTGTCTCTGGTGCTGTCACTGGGCACCACTGAAAGAGCCTGGCTCCCTCTGCTTTTCATCCTTGCTTCAGGTATTTTTATATATTGATAAGATTTGCTCTCCGAGCCTTCTCTTCTCCATCCCTGCTCTCTTCAGCCTCTCTTCATAGGAGAGATTCCCTAGTCTCTTAGTCATCTTATTGGCCCTTCATTGGACTTTCTCCAGCATGTGCATGTCTGTCTTTCACTGGGAAGCCAACAGCTGGGCACAGGATGCCAGATGTGCCTGCACCAGTGCTGAGTAGAGGGAAGGATCACCTCCCTCAACCTGCTGGCAGTGCTTTGCCTAATGCAGCTCGGAATACCTTTAGCCCTTCTTTGCAGCGAGGGCACATTGCTGGCTCCTGCTCAACTTGGTGTGCACCATGACCCCGGGTTCTTTTCTGCCAAGCTGCTTTCCAGCTGGGTGGCCCCTAGCATCTACTGGTGCCTGGGGTTTTTCTTCCCCAGGTGCAGGACTTTGCACTTGTCAGTGTTGAACTTGATGAGGTTCCTGTCAGCTCATTTCTCCAGCCTTTTGTGGTTCCTCTGGATGGCAGCACGACCCTCAGGTGTATCAGCCAATCCTCTCAGTTTTGTGTCATCTGCAAGCTTGCTGAGGGTTATACTCTGGCTCATCAGCCAGATCATTAATGAAGATGTTAAATGGGATTGGACCCAATATTGACCCCAGGGGTACACTGCTAGTTACTGGCCTATAACTAGACTATGTTCCACTGATAACTTCCCTCTGGGCCCAGACGTCGAGCCAGTTTTCAGTCCACCTCACTGTCTGCTCATCCAGTTCTTACATAACCACTTGTCTAGGAGGATCTTACGGGAGATGGTGTTAAAGGCCTTACTGAAGTCCAGGTAGACAACGTCCACTGCTCTCCCCTCATCTACGAGGCCAGTCACTTCATCATAGCAGTTTATCAAGTTGGTCAAACATGACTTCTAGTGAATTCACACGGACTACTTCGGATGATTTTCTTTCCGTTCCTATGCCTGGAAACAGTTGCCAGGATTAGCTGCTCCATAGCCTTCCCCGGGATCAAGGTGAGGCTGACTGGCATGTAGTTCTCTGGGTCTTCCTTCTTGCCTTTCTTGAAGATAGGAGTGATATTTGACTTTCTTCAGTCTTTGGGCACATCTCCCAATTGCTTTGATTGATCAAAGATTGCCGAGAGTGACCTTGCAATGATATGTGCCAGCTCCCTCAGCACTTGTGCGTGCATCCTATCAGGGCCCATGGATTTATGCATGTCCAATTTGCTTCAGTACTCCTGACCTGATCCTCTTCCACTAAGGGTACACCTTACTTGCTCCACATTTTCTACGTGATCTCTGGGACCTGGGTTTCCTGAAGACTGAGGCAAAGGTGGCCTTCCATACATCAGCCTTTTCTGTGTCCTTTGTAATCAGGTCCCCTGTCTCATTCAGCAGTGTGCCCACATTTTCCATACCCTTTGTTTTGTTACCTATGTACTTACAGAAGCCCTTTTTGTTTTTGTTGTTTTGAACCTTGACAGGTTGAATTCCAGTCGGTCTTTAAGCTCTCCTGACTTCATCCCTGGAACAACTTCCAGATCTGAATTAGAAAATAATAATAATGCATAAGCATCTGAAAGGTTTGGGTTTATGGTGGAATAAAGAATATGCTAAAAAGACTATTTTATGTGGGCCGCACAAATATTTTCTTCTCTCTATTTTCTACATATGATAAAAACTTTCCCAAACCAAGATTTTTTGATTGATTGACATTAGAGCAAGCAAAGTGCAGTCCACATGCAAAATAAATGCACAGTAGGGAAAACATAGCTATAGGTTTTATAACTTGCCCTCAATTTTCACAATCTTTTTGAATCTTAAAAGCTGCGTATAAAGGTTATGATAACTGGTATTGCAAAATAACACCAAAAAGCAATAATGGTCATTTCTTACGTAGTTCACCACTGAATTACTTAAATAAAATCAACTTCACATAGGCAGTTTTGTTATCTTGCTTCTTTTCTTGCTTCTCCAAAGTACAATATGGAAGACAAAACCACAAAAGAAATGCTTGGAACTCAAGTAAGGGGAATTTCATGTCCTCTGGTATAGTAAGTTGTCAGAGGGGAACAGCAGTTAGCAGGCTGTGAAATACAGAGGAGGCAGGGGAAGGAGAGACTGTTGGTTTGTGTTTGAGAAGATCTCTTGTGTGGGACTATTACTGTGACCATTTCTACACAAATACATGCTTGTAAATATTTTCTACAGCTTCGTATGTAGGAATGTACAATTGGATTCTTGTTATTCTTTACAAACTACTGAGACTCCAGTATGCACAAATGCTGAAGTAAAAATCATCCAGTGTGTATTTTATCAATAATGATTCATCCATGGAAGATCTCTTTTTCACAAGAACAAAGAGGAATATTTATTAGATGCTAATAAGATGGAGGATAATACTTCTACAGTAATAGCTTTAAATAACATTGTTCAGAGAAGCAAAAACAATTAGAAACATTAACATTTTTTAATATAGAAGAAGAAGTTGTGATGGTCCAGTATTACCCTCAATTCTGTAGATTTCTGTTTTCTCTTTGGGTGTGTCAGATATTCAGTCTTTGGTATCTTGGGCAAAAGCTTCTCACTGTTGAAAACGTTGAAAGCTTTTATACAGATTTTGAAACAAACTATTTCTATTACATTCCTGTTTATTTTTTATGAAATCATGCTTGACCAATCTGGTAGCCGCCTACGATGAGATGACTAGCTCAGTGAATGAGGGGACAGCAGTGAATGTTGTTTATCTCAACTTTAGCACGCCTTTTCCACTGCCTCCCATAACATCCTCATAGACAAGCTTATGAAGGTAAGTGGACAGCGAGGTGGACTGAAATCTGGCTGAAGTGTGATGTTCAAAGGGTTGTAATCAGCAGCGTGAACTCCTGCTGCAGGCCAGCCACCAGTGCTGTACCCCAGGGATTGGTACTGGGACCAGTGCCTGTAACATCTTCATTAATGATCTGGATGATGAGAGAAGATGATGATGCTCAGCAAGTAAGCAGATGATACAAAATCAAGAGGGGTGGCTGATGGACCATATTCTGCTCTTGGCCTGTCCAGGTCCCTTTGAATAGCCAGGAGCCGTGAAGATGAATAAGGAGTTGGAGCATGTGTTGTACAGGGAGAGGCTGGGAGGCATGCGATTGTTCAGCCTGGAGAAGCCAAGGCTCCTGGGAGATACTGTCCATGTATATAAATACCTCATGTGAGGGTGTGAAGAGAGAGACAGACTCTTCTCTGTGCTGCTTAGTGACAGCACAAGAGGCAATGGCCACAAATTGAAATATGGAAGATCCCATTTAGACATAAGAAAAAACTTTTTTACTGTGAGGGTGATGAAACACTGGAACAGGTTGTCCAGAGGTTGTGGAGTCTCCATCTGTGGAGATACTCAAAACCCAACTGGACATGGTTCTGAGCAGCCTGCTTTTGCTGACCTTGCTTTGAGCAGAGGGGTTGGAGCAGATGGTCTCCAGAGGTCCCTTCCAACCTCTATGATTCTGTGAAAAAATGAGAGGCAGAATGCTACTAAATGCTACTATTTTTGCAGAGCTGCAAAAATGTGTATGCATCTTGGCACACAGCTCTGACAGCAGGGTTTCCAGTAAGTGGTGCATTGCTCTTCAGTAAAGGGAGACCATGACACCAGAACACAAGCTTCTACAACCAATGTATCAATAATATGAAAAACAATTTCTAAATTTTAAGAATTGGTAAGAGAATTGTTGATTTTTTTTTTTTAGCAGCAGTGCTGGTGTAGTCAGAACAAGCGAAAATACAAACTCATGACTGAAGATCTCTTCTTCTCTGAAGATCTCAAAACATTTAATGTCTTTTTCAGTATTTTGCAATTACTGCTATTTTTGGATTTGCCATAAAATCCCATTTGTTATGTGTTTTTTAAAGTAGCCCAATTAAAAAGATTTATTTATAATTGTATTTATTTTTTGTATTATTTGTATTTATTCTAAAATGAATTGCATTTATTTTAGAAATTGTAATTATTTCTACCTGTAACTGGGATGACCGAAGCTAAGGAGGCTGTTCATCACTCTGACCTCTGCGACCCTTCTCCTTTTAAACTTAATGATAGTTGTGTGCTCTGTACTTGTATCACATAGTTGAACAGGTACTTTGAGGAAGAAGTTTTAACTCCTTCCAGATAGATGCTAATCTGACATACCCATTTTTGTATGTAAGGGGATACAGCCTTAAAAAGCTTCTGCTGAGTGAGAAAATGTATGTGCATGGTCTCTTCGGTGCACAAAAATAACGTATTATCCCTTTCACTGTACCAGAGATGCTCTTGTGTAGTATATGTGTAGCATATCTGGTGTAAGTTTTGGTTAACAATTTGCACTCTTGCCCATTGGAGTAGTATTGTCAAATGTAGGCAAAGGCACTGACTTTAACTGAAATGCTCAGCAGAAGCTCTTTCTGCCAGTCTTTGTTCTATTACTTGTCTTACAAGTAGAGCCCTGAAACTCCTTAAAGACATGCCTTTGATTACATTGAAGAGTGTAACCGGTGTCACCAGTGTAACCTGTCAAATTGCGTAGCTACCACAATATATAGTAATAAGGATTCCTCAGCAGAAAAACACTGAGCTTTTCAGCAGTAATTTCTTTGTCTCAGGGGTAATTGGTTTTTCATTTCAGCTATTACTGCACTGAAGTATAAATCTTTTTTTCCTCACACAGGCTTCACTAGGAAAAAAAGAAAAGACTAAAGGATTGTTTTACAAAGCCCTTCAAAACTGCCCTTGGGCAAAGGTAAGCATAGAAAAAATATAAACCTGTCATCATACTCTAATTTTTGAAGTTCTGTATTTGAAAAAAACAAAGAAAGTTGGACTTCAGTAGTTGTTGTAATGAGTTATATGCAAATGGAAGGAGAGATTTCCAAAGGAGAAGTACTATAAGATTTTCTGCAAATAAGAGCTGCATGTGAAATGGAAACAAATGTGGTCAGTGCTGTTTGCGTTTCGGAACAGAAAGGTGTTGCGTTGCATAATAAATTCCTGTCTGTGGGATCTAGAAGGGATCATGTCTTTCAGACCATGTTTTATCATGAGCGTGGTAGTAGCAGAAATAGATAGGCAAATAAAAATGTATTTAATTAGTAGTATAAAAAATTATTCAGGAGTACCTGCAACTCCTCAGATCATGTCTGTATATGCTGCAAATGCTCCAGCACCTCTTGACCACATTTTTTGAATAAAATTATTTAGTAAGAGTTGGAAAAGACTTGACTAAACATCTACATTGCTGCCACTGTAGAAGTACGAATTCTGTTCATACTATTTTAAAGAAGTCTATGATATTTCTTATGTTCTTGCTACAGAGTTGTTGGTGTATCTTCTTCATACTGTGTTTCTTGCTATGATAGAAAGATGGCACAGAAAACATTCTTGTCTTTCTAGGTACTCTACATGGATGCAGTGGAGTACTTCCCTGACCATCTGCAAGAGACGCTTGATTTAATGACTGAAAAAGAATTGAGAGTGCGGGTACCTATGGAAGAGCTGGATCTACTGTTAGAGGTTTAAACGATGACTGTAGATGAGAAAGTACAGAAGCTAGTTCCAAAACTAGCAGTTACACTTGTCTCTTTTCAAACAGTAACTGTTGGGAGTTGGGTATGATGTACTCTTTTTTTTTAAGTTGTTGGGGGTTTTTAAACTTCTCTAAAAATTGCCCTCAAAATGGAGTTCTGTTGGATGCAAGTATTCTGGAAGAAGTACTGCATTTTGCCCACAAAAATGGATCCATCCATTTTTCTGAAGTATTGCTGGCTCCCAAGGAAGGATACCCTCTTATGAATAGCCTCCTGTTGAATGTTGCCCACATTTCTTCTTCTATTGTTTGAAATTACATTCCCTTGAGTTCAGTAGAGATTCAGTACATGCTAACTATGGTTTGGTGAGCAGCACAGGAAATAAACATCTGCCAACTGGATGCTCCACTGTCCTCCAGTTGGCAGACTTGAGCAGTTTCCTTCAGCTTGGTATGTATGTGTGTGTATGCAGAACTACCAAGTCAAACAGCCCTTACAGCTGCAAACAGCTACAAACAGCCTGTACATACGCTGTTAGTAAAAGCTAAATCTTTGCTTGAAGCAAGCACCTATTTTGGAATTGTATTTGTATGTCATGACAGATGATCATTTTAATACAAATATTTATGAAAAATACACCTGAATATATGAAAATTCAAAAGGAACGTGAGTTATTTTTTTATATTTTTAAATTAAAAGAACTGAGTGTATTAAGAATGAAGAAGCATCTATAATACATCTCCAAGCAGCTCACTTCTGTACAAGTTTTTGTAATTGATTACTTGCTTTTGACCCAAATAGAGTCAATCATTATAAAAGAAGTAGAGGTCTGGTCTGTATTTAATCCTTACCAAAGAAGGCAAAGTAGTCAAAACAGGATTGTTTAATTAGTAGCTTCTGTTCCAAGAGTCTTTAGGCAAGCAACTAGAGAAGTCATATGAAATATGGTAAAAATTTAAAGACATGTTATGTTATAAAATAAATATATGACAGGATATGCTGAAATATGTAAAAGACACTTTAGCATCCCTACTCTTGAGATCCAAGCACTCAGAAGCTGGATCTTCATCTGAAAAGAGGGCACCTGCAGCCACCGAAGACCAAAAACTGTTCCAGAGGGGTTTTTGGGAGAAAACTACCTGTCACTAACAGCACTAAAAACAGTGGAGATCATCCAGCTGGTGTGATCTGATCACATGGAACACTACAGCTAGACAAAGCCATACAACCTATGTCTTGGTTTTGCCTGTAGCAGCACAACACAGGATGTAATACATCTTAGTTTAGGCTGTACTTCATTTATTATTGTAAATATTACAGGGAATATGAAGAATTTTAAATGGTATTACAGCACTTCTTAGGAGCCTTACAATATTGCTGTGGTTGCAAGCGATGCTGGTTTTGCTATAGAAGTAATTGATGATTAGTCTTTGTAAAAAATAAGTATTCTATTTTTAAAATCTTCCAGAAGTGACAGAGCTCCTGAACTGGAGGTAGGTGTTACTTTGTGCACTGAACAGTAACATCACAAATTGTGTGTGTTCCTTTTTGCCATTTCCTCTAAACACCTGGAGGGGAGATGGAGCAGGGGAAGCTGGATTGTGCTCCTGCTTGTGTTTCTCTCCAGTCTCGTAGAACCACAGAGCAGCCCAGCATGGGAGGGACCTCAAAAGATTATCTATCTGGTCCAGTCTGCTGTGGGCCAGGGAGCTTAGGTGGGATCATCTAGCACCCTGTCCCATTGCATCTTGAAAACCACCAGAGAGGGCAGGGAGGACTCTTGCTTCAGTCACTTTTCTCCTTGGTGCATCCCCTCCCCTGGGACCTTCCCCTTGCACAGCACTCGCACCGCTTCCTTCATGGGGGGTGCCAGGAGGCTGCTCATGTACTGGAGCTCCTGGAGCAAGTCCTGCCTTTTAATTCAGACCCCGGTTGCTTTTTCTCTTCCTGGTACTGTTCATTGTCTCCTGCTATTTATTACTTTTGTCTTGATCTTTGTGATGCAAGTCCAGAAATGGTGGAGAAAGTGGCCCGAGTTAAATTCTGCTGCAAAAGGTAAGAATTTAACTTTCAAGTATTAATTTAACTTTTTCAGTTACTGCTGTGGCAGACAGTGTACCAGCACACAGTTCTTGGTTTAGCTGAATATGCTGCAGCTTTCCTTCAGTCAGATTGAACTGACCTCTTTGTGGTCGTTGTTTCTAGCCAACATTAACAGCCACATCCCAAATAAAAAAAAAGCTTTGCTCACCACATTTGTCACAAAGCTCTTCAGCCCCTCAAGCGATGATGAGGTCAACTGCCATGATTAGAAAGTGCTAAAAAATCACTGGCTTTTCGTGGCCTTTCCAAGGAGACAGAGCTCATAAGGTTTATAAGAATGGGTAATAAAACTTCCGTTCTTTTTCTACCTCCAGCTGAAAAACAACTCTATTTCAGGGTTCCTGTCATCCAGATGAAATAAAAAGACTCCATTCATCAGTAGGGTTTGTTTTTAACAATGAACCACATACTTTTAACATAGAAAACCAAAATCTCTTGGCCTTGCTGCTCCCATTGTTGTTAACAGCACTGGCAGTTACCAAAGGTATTGCACTGTATGTAGCTCTAATGCTGTTACTGGCCAGCATCTGTTCCCACAGAAAGTTTCCAGAACACACTACACGTTGCTTAACTGTGGTCTGTAGAGGGAACTTTATATAAACACCTTACAAATCACACGTACAACACTTGGAAGATAATTACTTGGAACTTAATAAGCACTTCACAAACATGCGCCGCACAGAGTATGTAGTATGTGCATCACTACAGCTTGGCAAAGTAATAGAACCTAACTCCTGTGGGGATGGAACTGCAGGCGTAGAGGGGAAGAATCCAGTTTAAGGTTAGGCTGCAGAACACCAAGCGTGTGACATGTAGTTCGAATTCCTCTCTGCGTGCCTGCAGCATGACAAAGCACGCACCTCACGCACCTGGGCTGTGGCTGCCTGAGCCCTCAGGCCGACATTTTCCAACATGGAGTAAAGAAAGCATCCTTATACAGTGAACTGTAACCCTCTTGGGAAAAACAAATCTATCAACTCTTTGATGTTACAAGTACCTTACCCAAACATTCAGATCTTTAAAGTGCTAGATAGAGATGGGTACTTTTAAAGTGTATCTATCTGGATGTTACTTCAGGTTGCATGTTTTTCATTAATTTTTATGTACATATGACTTCAGACACTGAGGTTACTCAAAAGTGACTTTTGTCCTACTTACTTAGCCCCTAAAAAGAGATATGCAAAAGTAATAAAGAACAGCAGCAATTACAGAGTAGCTGTAAAAGACTGCCAGGCTTACCGAGGTCCGCGCAGTGGGGAAGACGCCCGGGCACTCCTCCTGCCACGTGCGGCTCCCGGCGCCCAGACAAGCACTCCCACGGCACTCGCCCTCTTTCCTCAAAGCACATCTGCGTAAACCAACAGTGGGCTTCATGTAAACAGCGGGTCTCTGCCACCAGAACAGTTCAATTCAGATAAATGTTTTATTGGGAAATGAAGTGTTACACTGACCGAAAACCCAAAACACACCAAGATTTAACCGGTCCAACAATGCAGATGAGCTAGACTATGTGGTTTTACCCAAGACTCTCATCAGCACAGAAAGAGTTCCTCATAGTCCCCAAAGAGAGAGATGACTTAAAGATACAGTCCCTCAGGGGTTCCCTCCTGCTTCTTATAGAGGACGTTCTCTTTTGACTTTTTGAAGTCTTCATTTGTGACTTTCATTCGCCGTTCCCTCAAAGCCATCAATCCGGCTTCTGTACAGATTGCCTGCAACAGAGGAAGCAGGAATAAGTTACTCTCTCTGTGTATCCCCTTCAAGCCACACCTCAGAAGACAGCGGCGTCTTCATACTGCTCCGACTGACTCTGCCGTGGAAGTGGAGAGTGTTAACAAAATTTACATTCTTAGTTTTGATACTGTTCAGCAGCACTGAAGCATGTAAAACAATCTGGATAAAGCTAGATCAGTACGTCCTCCTGTAGCCAGAGTGACGCTTCCATGACAGAAAGGCAGCTTTGTAACAAACAGCATTTCCCTCCTGTGAGGAACAGATGCATCCAGCTCTGCTAACAGCCGACTGTATTACTCTTTGCAGTGAGGTGATGGACTAATGCCATGTTTGGTTAAGCTCATTAGTGTGGTGGCTCTAGCGAGGGCCCTATCTACTTTAGAAAAGCAGACTGTATGCCTGAAGCTTTCTAATCAACACCTGCATTTTTATGTGCTTGCAACACAGTCTCTCAAAATGCTTCTTATCCTGCACTACCTTAAGTAACATTTAAGATACCTGGTATGTTTGTGTAAGATTCCACATTCCCCTTCTAATTTCTACTTTGCTACTTTTAACATTTCATAAACATAACACTCTTAAAACACAAGCTACCTCATAATGACGATTTTGATACATTTCTCATTTGTAAAGCTGAGTACGTGGCACTCATTAAAGGTATTTTAAAGCCATCCAGCTGTCCCTCAGTGATGCAACCACAGGTAATTAGAGAACAGTTTCAACAGACAATGTTTTTGGATGCAGCAAAAGTGAGATTTGATTTGTGTTTTGAAGTATAAACAACGGCAAAGTACACTGACCTTAATATCTGCGCCACTGAGATCATCTTTTGCCATAATCAGCTCATCCAAAGTCACATCATCTGCCAACGTCATCCTACTTGTGTGAATCTGAAAGATTCGTTTCTTGGTCTTTTCATCAGGCAGAGGGAACTCTATTTTCCTGTCAATACGTCCTGTGCAAAAGAAAAGTTCAGTCTTAGGTTTTTACATGCAGCTACTGGAAACCGAGCAGGAAGAACATCTCAAGGTTACTGACAGTAACTGTTTATTCACACCACAAGCCATCACGTCTTGGAGTGGAAAGTGAGATCAGACTATTTGCAATGAACAGGAAGCTACTGGAGCTGAAAGATAGCATGCTGCTGAAAAAGTC